TCTATTTGCCAACCCATTCCTATTCAGTCATTTTATTATTAATGTGATTTGAATGTCAATCTGTGTGCTTTTGGTGATCCAGCGCTGTGGCAAGCAACTTTGCACATCATTTTCATGTTGTTCTTTATGACGAGAATGTTCTTCAATTAGAAAGCGTGCAAATCATGAAATTCAGGGCCAGTGGGGCAAATAGACCATTTGACACATGTGAGTTCCCGGGAACATAGTCCCTGACGGCTGATTCAACTTCATACGTGCTCTACTTCTACACAAGCGGATACGATACTGAAGAGTAGAAGGGCCAGCGCTGTGGTGCTGATCCCTCTGCAGTGCCACCCCCGGCCAGGCAAGGAAGGGGCCAGCGAGAGAAACCATTCCCACTAAACCGGTAACACAGGCAGGATCCCTGGGGAATTAGACATTTGAGTGAGAGTGAGATGAGAAAGGCTTGAGAATAATCCAGACGCAACACCAGGATGTAGATGAAGTTAGTGAAAAGAGCTTCGCCCTCAGAGGGCAATGAGAATGAGAAATAACAAACCGAAAGAGAAGAACTCTGTCTTTTTAGAAAATGAATACTGCTAGGGAATTCAACTACCTAAACATCCCTTCTTATATAGAAACAGAGAATTTTGCAAGTTATTTATTTTTTACTATGCCCTGAATGTGTTTGCTATTACGTCGTACATTTTGCATATGGAAGGCTGTAACTAAACTTCCTTTACTTTTTATATTGTAGCGGATGTTTTCTATTCTCTAACCCCCACCTCCACCCCCGCAGAATGTTGCCCCAAACCTATAATTATTGGTCCCATTTCCCAGTATACACATTTACAGTTAGAAGCCAGGTACCCCGGCAGGGTCTGCAAATCAAAACGCTTCATCATGTAACACAAAAGCAAGGACCTAAGGGAAGCAAAATGAAAGATGGGTTTACCAGAAAGCCTGCCCCGCTGACTGCTTGTTGGCACCCTTGCTTGCTGTCTCAGAACTTCAGCCATGGTGATAGCATTCAAGAGGCAAGGGGAAGCCAGAGAGCACTTCGGTTCAATTAAACTCCAGCCGCAGACGGACTTATAAAAGGAAGAGTTTTCTCCTTGGCAGGGAAGAATTAAAAAAAAAAAAAAACAAAAAAACACCTCAGCAGCCAGGAAGACAAAGCAAGGATAGCAAATGGTTGGTTGTCCCAAGCCAGGAGGAGGCCCTGAAATCCACCCACCCTTCCCAACTGTCTCCCCCAGCCGGCTTGCTCCATCTCTGACTCCCCTCCTACCTTTCTTCTCCAATGACTTCTCAGTTCCCTGCCACTATTTTGTTCCTGATCTCCGCCAGACTTTTCCCAGTATCCATCCCCAAGTCAACCACTTCTCCATCCTTCCTCAGATAGGCTTCTCTGCCTTTTAAAACCCTTGTCCCTTTTGATAAACACTGAAGTTTTAAAAGCCTCCTCTTCTCAACCCACCTGGATTCCAGGCCACTCCCCTGGGGTGTACCATTCAGCATCTTCATGGCTGCTGGAGACACACGGATGTTAGGGTCTAAATTTTACACTCTAGCTAAAAATGATTTTATCAAGTTTTTGAAGCAAATCTTTTCATTTTTGAAGCACAGAATTTTAGTAAATTATGAAATGCAATTTTTCACCTACTAGGTCTCCATGCAACCTGAACTTGTGATATACCCTCCCAAGGAGGTTGTACAAACACACACACACAGATGCGCACGCGCAAAGTATCATTCCACTGACCTAAAGCCAGACACCTGCCATGCACTTGGCAGGCTCTCTCCAATTATCAGTTGAGGAAGAGGAGGGAGGCAGCAACTTTCAGGTAGCACTGATTCCTGGACATACCCTGTCCTGGGTCGACCCCACTGGCAGCAGGAATTCTGAATGTATTGGGGACCCCTTCTTAGGCCTCAGACATAGTACCTTTCATCCAGCATCGCTGAAGACTGAAGACTCAGAAACAAACCCTAAGTGCATCACTGAGGTCTTAATCAGAGCAAAATGTGATAAACTATGATGTGAAAACCTTTTATATATTGAAGCCATGACCATTTTTGTGTCTATCTCACTCTAGCACAAAAACTCTTGGATGTTAAAAGATAGTTGTATTGTATGAGAGCTGTAGGGTTTTGTCTATTGTGTGACTCTACGGAGTTGAGAGGGGTCTCCCATTAACACTTAGCAAAGTCCCATTGGTCAATGCCAAATGGTGTCTTGAAGCACAATTTAGCTGAGCACTGAGCAACCACATGCTTTCTCGGTTCAAAGTTTGTCTGCCTTCTTCAATATGTAGGGTTGATCGAGCTAACACTTACTAGCAAACATCCCTTATATGAGGTTGACTAAAAATATTGCTGTGTCTGGTCTAAATGTTCGCATTTTGTTCAATTAAATTAATATCTGTAGGTTGCAAGTTGTTTTAAGTGAGAGACACTTTATTGAGTTTTTAAGTCTTTATCTCCTGTTCAAAGGTGCCTTTCTCACCTCCCATTGACTCAGTGACTCTGAAAGTTCCTAATTTGCAGGTGAAACCAGTCTAACAGAGAGGAGGAAACCAGGCACAGTGACTAATTCTCATGCCCATTAGCAAAGCAAAACTACAAGAAAAGATGAAAACCTGAGCAACTAAATTAATGGATCACTTCATTCAACCAGACTGAGAATATGTCAGAAACATTAACTTATCTCCCCAGAAGCTGATATTTTTTGCCTTAAATGACATGGTTGTGTTTTTGTAAGAGAAACTTAATATAACTATGTGCATTTTAAGTGAGCAGTTCTAAAAGTCAAGTATGACAATACAGTTGTCTGTTCCTGAAAACAAATAAATCAGGAATATCATTACCCATCTCAAGCTATCATTGAAATGTAATTTCCTTTGCTCTCTTTTACTGGGCTCATTTGTTTTAAAGTAAAACATTAAAAAGATGTCTATAAACAGTGTGACTGTTTTTATCTGGAACTAACTGGTTGGTTCTGAACTGACTGGTCCCAGACAACCAAACTGGCTGTGTACAGATTTGGGGCTGAACTATAAAAGTGATCGTCCTGCAGTGTTAGTGAAGAAATCATTGTAATTTGAGTAGGGGGAAATTTGCAAATGTTTTTGTGTGTGTATCATAAAAATTCAATATAGATCAAAATTCAGAGAGCAGCACATGTGAGCTTTGTATTAACTGTAATAAAAGGGTGTGCTAAACAAGTAATTGGAAATCACTGGGGGATAGGCAGGTGCCCAAACCTGCAGCCCCTGGCTACTCAGAATTGCCATGTTTAGCACCTCACCAGCTCTGTCTTACCAGGGGAGGACTTCTCCAAAAGGGATCTTTCCCTTCTTCCCTAGGATAGCCCATTCCTTCTGTTTTCATAGTAATTTTGTGCTGAAGTATCCATGATTAATTCCAATGGAATTATTTTAAAGGAGACTGGATGTCAGGACTCTGGAATACAAAGTAACAAAACCGTAGGAGAGGCACCTGAGACAGGAGGAAGTAGTGAGGGAGGGTTATCCTGGGCAGGATACGGTGCAAGGATAGCTTCCCACCATAGCTCTACTGAGACCAAACAGGTATGTGCCTAGAGATGATGAAAATAAAATTGTGTATGGAACATGCCTTCTTGACCAACTTAGAAGTGTAAATCACTTCCAAACACTTTTGAACCAGTTTATGGCCCAACCTCTCACCCCTACTATTTAAGCACAGAGTATACTTAGGACAACAATTCTACTTTAACCATTGATAAAAATAGGTTACCATACCCTGAAGGTGGCAACTTTTATAAGCCTGGATTTAACTGCTTCAAAAATGTGGTGGAAGGACAAATTGGGTTTAATTAAATTTTAATTATGGCAAGACTTCACCTGAGCCTATGTAATTGCAAACTATTGAAGCTTTTACTATATACATTTCAGAGCAGAAATTTATCAGACATATTGTGTATAAATTATAGATTTAGGCACCACCCTGGAAATTAGAGCACAACAAAACTGGTAAATGGCAAAATGTTTTTGTTCAAATAAATATAGAAAATCCAAAGGTACATTGGTATGACTTCTCTTTGCCCATTCACATGATTCACTATATGTCTATCATAATTTTGGCGACTATTTTAAGTCCAATGTGCTCTAGTGCCATTCTCGACACACTGCCACAATACCTACACCTACTTTTCCAATTATATGGCTTTTTTCTCATGTTTAGTGATGCTCCCATTACTTGCTTCTTTTTTCTTTTCCTTTGCCTACATTAGCATGACTCCCTTTCTGGAGTGCCAATCCCTGCCTGTCACCATGATCCCAAGTAACAGGGTACTCATTCATCCCCATGCTACAGCTCAGGGTGCCACTCGACCTCATGTGAGCCATGAGGACATCACACCACACACATCCCCGCTCATAAATGCTTGAGTATCTTTGAAGCTCCTTGCCTAAGCCCTCTGGGCACTGAATGACCCAGTACCACTCTCTGTTACCAGGGATATCACCTCTGGACCTGGTGGTGGAGAGGCCCTTGCCACTCCCTGAGGGGAAGACTCCGTCTTTTCTCAGTCCCCAAGCTGCCGATGTTCCACAGTTGGGTGGGGTAATCCCCATCCCCTATTTTCCCCCATATCTGCCACATCTGACTCCCACTCTTTCTCCTCATAAACATGAGTAGGCTTCCCCGTTACCAGCAATCATTGAGAACTTTATTTTTCCCAACATCTCACCCTCCCTTTAGAACTGAACTACTTAGAAAATAAATAAGGGATTCCATTCCCACAGCATCCATCCACCAACCAGTATGACCATCACACCCACGCCCATTCAATACCACAGAAAAACCCCTCTGTGAGTGAAATTAATGAAACCTATGAAATTAACAAATCTTGCTGGGTTTTGACGGGCACTGAGGGGGGGCACTTGACGGGATGAGCACTGGGGGTTATACTATATGTCGGTAAATCGAACTCCAATAAAAAATCCATAGATAAAATAAACTATATTCCAAATTCAACCACTTCCTAGCACTTCCACCACTTCTCCGTAGTCCAGGGTACCGGCTTCTCTCACCTGCAGTCCCTCACGGTTGAGATACAGGCTGCTAGAGGAGAAGCTTAAACAGGAAGAGTTCAAGTGAGGACATGTTTAGCTTGCCAAACTCTTGGCTAGAGAGATTGAAATGTGGATTTGGCATTGAGTAAGGTTCTGGAAAGGGGATTTAGAAAGCCTTCCTCTCAATTTATTCATAGTTCACAGGACTTCAGGATCTTTTGCTTCCAGAACACCCTGTCACCACCCCCAAACTTCTAGCAAACAGGAACAATGCCCAAAGACCTAAGGTTTACTGGACTGCCTGGATGCCCATCTCATCAGGCAGTTGGAGTAGATCCAATTTCTGTCCCCATCTAGACCCTCCACTTCCCCCCAACGCACACACACACACACACACACACACACACATTTCTCCTCTCATTTATCTACCTTTTAAGGTCTAGGGAGATGCCAGAGAGGGTCCCTTCTTTTCTAGAAGCCCCTGTCTTCATTCAACCCAGAGCAGCCTGAACAGGCTCCAGGTGTGAGAGAAGCAGCTTGTGCAAGAGCTGTTTTGTTTCATCCTCCAGTGCTGGGCTGCAGCACAGCTAGCTCAGCCTGGCTCCACAGATCTCAGTGCTGGGCCCGCTGGAGGCCCTTCCGGGGCCCGGTAAGCCTATCCAAAAGAAAGAGGACTGCACATCAGAGGCTTTACACGCTGGGTCACTTATTTTGTGGGATATCTTCACCTATTGAACACTTTCTTACATTTAGAAGACATGTCTCAGACATACGCCTAGAAGGTCCAAGAGGAACATGACTAGGTCACAAATTCAAATTTCTGTTAAAGCCGTTTCTCACCAAAGCCAGAACTTTCCCTCCCCTCCACCTACCCAGGAGAGATCAGTCCTTTATTACTAATAGAGTGAAATCTAAGGGAATCCAGGACAACCTACCATTTAGTATGGGAAGCCTGGGAAAACCTCACAGAGACAGTCCCGCCCACCCTGGCAGGCAGGCAGCCCTGGCAAACAGCTGCATGCTGGGGGTGGTGGCCAGGTCCTCCTTGGTCAGGGGCTGGCTCCAGACTAGCTGCAGCATCTCAAGGCCTGTGAAGACAGTGCCCTGGTGAGGGAGGGTTCGCAACTGGGATCCCAGGGCAGGCCAGAACCCCCAAGGAGACATTAAGAGGGGTTATCCAACCCAGGCCTTCCCAGTTGCCCCATCCGCACACCACCCTGCTACCTTCCTGTAATTACGGTGGACCAAAAGCATGGCTGTGGCTCAAGGGCACTCTGTGGGACTCACGGAAGCCCCTGGATTTCCAGCCATCCCACAATCCCTGAAGAAACCAAGATGCCACGCAGCTCCACAGTTTAGCCAGGGACACCTACCTTGGGCCTGCTGGTCAGAGTTCCAGCTCCCCAAGCTCCAGATCATATCAAACAGCTACCGCCTTGCCTCTGGCAGTCCAACTACAATGACTCGGGTCTGGCCTGTGGCTGTGAACCATCTCTGCAGCTGAATAAAGGTATGACTGTGCACCTCTATGCATCAAGGTGGCCTGCAACTGGAGGAGGGATTCGTGAACCTCCACTTCTTAGGCAGGCCAGGGAGGGCTGCTCCGGGACAAGATGGGGATGGAAAAGTAGGGGAAGGCTGGAAACTGGGGAGGAGATGTGGGCAAGGGCCACCTACCAAAGATGCACTCCTCCTGGTCTTCTTCCATGTAAAATACTAATGGAAGGTAAAAGTTCTCAGATACAATCCACCATGGCCTCTTGCTGCAAGCCCTCCTTTCCATGTCCTAAATTGCTCCTACTTGATTCAGAATAGAAGCAAGCTCAAGCACCCTGTCAAAAAAGAAATTGGAAGAACTCAGGGTAGACCCAGGGATCTGTGTTAAATATTAGCATCTGAACAATTCCACATCTTGGACCGCCTTAAGGAGGGGTGGCTTTTGCTTACAGATCCTTTCAATAAAACCCATTCCAAAATTATCTTCATTCTAATTTCAAAAGATTTTGGAGCAGATCAACTGGGTATGAGCCAGGACAGGGATTGAGGGATGGAAAGTACTAGAACAGGTAGGTTCCAAAATGGCTCCCTAGATTTGGACAGGCAGTTTTAGTTTGTTCACACTACAAAAAATTATAGACTGGGGTGGTTAAAAATGACAAGTACTTATTCCTCACAGTTCTAGAGGCTGGGAAGTCCAAGATCATGACACTGGCAGATTTGGTATCTAGAGAGGTCCTCCTGGTTCATAGACAGCCTTCTTTTCACGGTCCTTACATGGCTGCATGTCTGAAGGGGTGCTTAAGCTTTCTGGGCTTCTTTTACAAGGACACAAATCATATTAATGAGGAGGAACCCTCCCAAAGGATTCACCTTGGGGGTTAGGAATTCAATATGTGAATTTGAGGGGCATGCAAACATTCAGACCATAGCAATTACTACCAGTGAACCAATGATTACACATGTGTAGTTAGACAAAGTTGAGTTTATTTGATGTACTGGTTCAGGAGAGAAGCAACAATCCAGGAACATAAAGCCTCTTTATAGGGAAGAGTTGTGGGGAGCCTATTATAGGATTTGGCTGGGTGATTCTAAGGACTGTTTAGAGAAGCAGAGGCCAGTTTTGTAAAAATAGGGCAATTTGGGGATTATGTGGAGATTGATGTGGTCTTGATTGAAGAATGTCATTGTCTCCGTCTGATTTTAAATGTACAGAGTAAATGTCCTTGCTACATCTTGCATCACAATCGCTGAGTGGTCTTCACTGGTTAAAGAATTCTGAAAGAGTTATTTATGTGTAGTAGGGAACATTAGAGTTTACCTGTCAACTTCCAGCTGCAAGTTCCTAGGTCTGTTTTTTTTTTTTTTTTTTTTTTTTTTTTTTTTTTTTTTTTTTTACTTGTCAATCTTTCCTTTTGGCCAAAGAACATTGGCCAGCCCTTAGGACATTCATATGCATGATTCAGATCCATATCATCATCAGAATCCATTGTTCACAGGCTATTTGGAGAACACTGTCTGCATTTGTACTGCAGTTAGTCTCACATGAGCCTTTTGTTGCAAGATGAGATGTTGAACCATTTAAAAACATAATGACTGCACAGTCTCATTTAAGACTGGACAGGATACATGGGTCAACCAGAATACAGGAAATTACCGGAAACAAAGCGATCATTAGTCCTATTAATAGGTTGCCAAGGAAAGAGCCAAAACCAGGCCATGAAATCAGGTCCCCAAACCCATCTGAATCTGTTCTAGAGAGCCAGATAGTCCTTCTTTTAATTTAACTACAAACTGTTCTATCTAACCCATAGTGTTTTAGGTAGATGCTGCAAGCAGTGTTTGCTATAAAACAAAGTTCTTACCCAGCCAAGAAGAAAACAAAGGCTATTTAATCATGCATAAGCACCATGAAACTTTAATTTAAACTAGTTCATTGGGCCTCCAGAGCAGAGGTAGTGTCATTTACAACTTCTGTTAGGGTCAAAGACAAATTTTGCACCAGCTTTTCTTGTTGTATTATTCCTACTACTGGAATTGGAGCACCCAGAGTATAGATGAAGAGGGAGTCAGTTATCTCTCCTGGGAGCTTTCCCAAAGAGTCCATGCTTTCCTCATTTTAGGTCTCTGAATATCTTTTTCAGAAAAACAGTTTCCTGTAGAAGTAGATGTTATAAGTTTTGCAAATTTTCTAAAAGTTACTCCATATACACAAGATAGGCTTGTGTAAAATAATGTCCACATAAAAAGTAGTACCTTACTGTTACACAAATTGAATGGAGAGTACAAGTATCATTGATCACAATGAAATCAGGACAATCATTAATCCTGTAACATGTAAAGATTCCTTGAGTGGAGGCTGGGGAATCCCTGAAGATAAGAGACTAATAAACCAAGGACAGCCTCAATATTTGTGTCTACTCCTGTAAGCTTGCTTCTTGAGTCAGCATAAATATTTTCTAATAAGCATAAGTATTTTGGGTTCAGTGTCCAATTTTGATAGAACCAAAGGTCAGAATTAATACTGTGAGGAAGAGAATGCCTGGGTGGCTCAGAACCTGATCTTGGAGTCCCGGGATCAAGTCCCCGCATCGGCCTCCCTGCACGGGGCCTGCTTCTCCCTCTGCCTCTCTCTCTCTCTCTCTCTCTCTCTCTCTCTCTCTATCTCTATCTCTATCTATCTATCTATCTCTCATGAAGAAATAAAATAAAATCTTTAAAAAAAAATACTGTGAGGAAGATTCAAATTCCAGAAGAGACCAGCAGAAGAAAATATATCTTTTGAAGTATGAAGGGAACAACTATTAAATTTTTGTTAGTCAAATCAGGTAGAGAATGACAAATCCATTAATCAAATTTATAACAATAGCTATAGTCTGGAAACCCACACATATATACACAAGAGTTTTGCCTTTCCTTGAGTGGAGGATTGAGATTAAAAATGTAGATATGTGAGGATGCCTGGTGGCTCAGTCAGTTATGCATCCAACTCTTGGTCTCAGCTCAGGTCTTGGTATCAGGGTGGTAACTTCAAGTCCTGTGTTGGGCTCCATGCTGGGTGTGGTTTCTACCTTAAAAGAAAAAAATGTAGCTCCTTGAAAGAATTATGAAATTTTTTTGGTCTCCCTCTAGGGGGCACCAAAGTACAAAGATAAGTAGAGCAAAATTGAAAAAGGAGGGCAGAGATCAAAAGTGAATCTTGTTTTATTGCCTTCAGTTGAAGCTCTCCACCTCCTCATTGGCTTGATCTGAAGTTCTTGGTTTGGTAGTCTTCTTCCAAAGATCAGTTATTCCTGGAGGATACAGAAGAATCCTTTATGGTTTCCCAATACAATCTTTCAACTAAAGCCACAAGTACTTTTCCCTTGATTTTTGCAAGTTTAGTTTCTCTCAAAAAACTAAATCTCCAAGTTTCCCGTCATGCAAAGGCTGCTGGGGTGGATATTTGAGGAAAGATGCTTATACTTACTGGGCACATCAAATGAATCCTTTGTAATACTTAACAATTGCAAGCTTGCAGTTATAAAGTATTAGATTATTACTTTTCTGGGGTTCCTGGTATGGCCTTTTCATAAAGCACATTTTGGAGCTGCTCTTTAGTAAAAATCGCAGTGAAATGTGCACTCCACATCACCAAAGAAATCAGTTAATTTCCTTAGATCCAAAATAACAATCAAGCTACTTACCATCAGAACTTGGGCTATGCATTAGGAATATCCTCAATCCAACCTGAAAAAAAACAACAGCCAGCATATACACCACCACTGGGGCAACTGCTTTGGTCAAAGCTTGTTTAGCATAGTGGTAAGCTAAGGTATTACCTTGGAATTCTGGGTCATCACACTCCGAAGTAGCCTTCTTCAGATGACCAAATATATATTTTCCAGAATATATTTGATCTTCATCCACAGTTCCTGAAAACACTTCAGAACTATAAAAGAGAAATGGGTGTCTTGTTATTAATGAAGGTGACTTTTGGACTCCATTCAAGAGCAGATACTGCTTGCCAGGAAGACCAAGCAGGAGACTGAAGGATTGGAATGTTCAGCCCCACCCCCTCCATCCACAACCTCTGAAGAAGGAAGACCGGCTAGGGGTTGAATCAGCCAATGTCAGTGACTTAGCCAATAATGACTGTGTGATGAAGCCTCCATAAAAACCCAAGTGGACAGCTATTTTGGTCCTTTTTGTTTCCCTGACAGCTTCCACACTTGGGGAACCAGAAAGTTCCCACATGCTAGTGAGCCAGGCCTCAAGTTCCATGAGAATAGAATCTCCTTGGCTAAAGATCTCGTCCTATGTATCTCTTCATCTGGTTGTTGATTTGTATCCTTTATCATATCCTTTAATAAACTGCTAAGAGTAAATGCTTCCCTGAGTTCTGTGAGCCACTCTAGCAAATTAATCAAACCTAAAGAAGAGGTGGTTGAAACCTTCAACCTGCAGCAGGCTTGTCAGAAGCACAGGTAACAGCCTGGGGTTTACTACTGGCATCTGAAGGGGGTAGCGTTTGGGGCCAGTCCTGTGGGACTGAATCCCTAACCTGGCGGATCTGAAGTTATCTCCTGGTATATATGTCAGAATTGGGTTGATTAGACACCCTGCTGGTGTCCAAGAATTGTGTTGTATGTGAGGGAACCCACCCCCCACACAAAGATTGGAATTGGGTCCAGGAACTCTAAAAGATTCGCAATCTACAAGAATTTTCTTTTTTAAAATCAATGTGTTGACAGTTACTGTGTCAATCTATATAATGAACAAGGGTTCTTCTTTCTTCTCACTTTAGAAGTACACATTTTATGATAATTAACCTAGAAAAACTCAAGTTTTATTTTGATTTGTCAGTTTAAAAAAAAGATTTTATTTATTTATTCATGAGAGACACACAGAGAGAGGCAGAGACCCAGGCAGAGGGAGAAGCAGGCTCCATGCAGGGAGCCCGATGCGGGACTCGATCCTCAGACCCCAGGATCACGCCCTGGGCCCAAGTCAGACGCCCAACCGCTGAGCCACCCAGGCGTCCCTGTCAGTTTTTTATATCCCAATTTGGTAACCAAAAAAATTTCATGTTTGAGTTACTCAAAATTTAATAATGTCAAGCAAACCTGAGTATTTCTGTTCTATCCCTTAATAAACCAAAAGAGCAAAAAGAAAAGAAAAGGTATTTTAGAAGTTTGATTATTTCAGATTTGTGGCCAGCATGTTAGGGGAAAAAAAGTACTTAAACAAGAGTGCTAGTCATTGAAATGACATTTTGAAGATAGATTTTCTAACTTTATGATTTTA